AAAAAAAAAAAAAAAAAAAAAAAAGAGAACACAGATACAGATGTTCTTGCTCAAGTGCTGTTTAATTTGGCATGGTGGAGTTGTAGCTGCAGAGTGTTAAGGAATAAAAATAATAAACGAGTAATCCATCAGGAAAACTCAGTACCATTACTTAGTATGTAAGGAAGATTATATATAGTCCAGTAAAATCTGCAGCATGGATGCAATTTACGCAGAATTTGGAATGCAATGTGATTTATCATTTTCATAACTTTGGAGTGTTTGTTTTCAGACATACATCTGACAAAATTGCATTTTTCCTTGCGTATAACTTTAACTTGTGTTTTAAGGGCAACTCCTTGCTAAATCTGTTAAGATGAAAACCATTGTTTTACTCACCGAGTACTCAAATAGATGTACGTTAAGGGGAAAAATAATGGGGGAAGGATTAAAAGAAAGTCAGCCTCGAGAAATTAGTTTCAGGAGTGATTTGAAACAAAACACTGATTAAGCTGATCTGACAGGCCAAAGAAGAATATTCCAAAGTTTAATCTCCACAACATCAGAAGCTCACTTCTTATTTAAAGTAAGAGGGTGGAGCAGTGAAAAGATGAGAAGTCGGCTGCATCTGCATATAATACCTCAGTCGCGCTGATATATATGTAGGCAGGAGCCATGTAGGGCTTTACAGCAGATTCTGATGAGCAATGCTTGGTTTGGCCTAGAAGTCAGTGTAGTTTGGCAGTATAAGACCAGCTCAGTGCAGGGTTTTGTGGTTTCTGGACTAAAATATGGAGTTTGGCATAGTGTATGACTTTGCAAATGAAAGCAGATCCAAGTTAATATTAGGATATAAGAGGATTACTAAGGTAAGCACTTTTAATAATTTCCTAAATTGGCAGATGCATTAAGTGGCACACGGTTTAGTGCAATAAGGAAATGCATCCTCATAATAATATCCATTCATCATTTTTTTAATCATTGATGTGATATCTTGATGAAATTGTGTAAATTAAATGTTTGTGTGTTTTCGTGTGTTTAATTTCATCAAAGAAAACAAGCCTCTTCTGGGTGGCTGGGTTAAAAGGGATCCAAAGTCAGCCGAGGTTCAGGAGGCAGCTCAACATGCTGTGAAGATGTTCAATGAAAAGCCCAAGGGCAAGAAAATGTTCAAATTGATTGAAGTGACTGATGCTCAGAGTCAGGTTAGAATCAGCTTTCACAAACAAAATGAATCAGCGTTTTACTATTGCAATCCCACTACAGCGTAAAATATACATTTATGTATGCTGATGTTTGTAGGTGACCGATACAATCGACTATAAGATTGATGCAGTCATGGGAAAAACCAAGTGTCCCAAGTCTGAAAACCAAGACCTGAAGGGCTGCAGTGCTGTGAAAAAGGTGAATGTTTTCTCTGTCTGCGTTTGTAAAAGTCTGTAAAGTTTGTAAAGTCTCTCAACAATATTTTTTTCCAAAGCAAAAAAAGTGAAAAGCTGAATATTAATAAATATTAAGTTAAAAACAGAAATCTAGAGAAATGCTCCCTTTTGATTCTCATGTAATGCTCATTGTTGTTTCCTCTTTCACAGCATCTGAAGTGCCGCTTTGTGGTGACGTACAACCCCCGCAACAACAAACACGAGCTGCAGAAACAAAAGTGCAGGAAAGTTAAAGACAATGTTTAAACTTTGAACAGCTTTAATTTGAATTGCTTTTGTAGGCTTGTTGCCATGGCAAATTTATGTGTTCTTATTTCCTGTCTCTGTAATTTAGATATATTTTCAATACTATGTAATGCAGCACATTGAACATGGTGGATGTGGAGGATTGTTCAAAATGAACAAATCATAAATTTGAAATAAAGATTAAAAAGGTTTGCCAGAATGCAATTATAATTTGGTTTACCATGGTTGTGGTTCATGGGTTGAAATGCCTTCTTTTTCTATTTTACTTTAGCTTAAAAAAATTATGTGTGTGCCATTTGTGCAAAATGTCAACTTGATTCAGTTATTTAGTTATTACTGTGGGCTATTTAGAATAGACTCAATCATATGCATGCAGGTAAGAGTCAAAGTGTTCATGATTTATTCATGTTTATCTAACTGATGGTTTTTGTTGTTGTTGTTGTTGTTTTATAGCTAAATCAGCTGATTAGACATTTTGTCATGAAGTTTTTCACAAGTCAATCTCTCTTCATGCTCTGTCAAATGTCTGAAAAGAAGGATAGGAATTGAGTCATTAGAATGATTTGACATTCGGAAATAACATCTCCTACACCTGTTTCTGTAGAAATATCTTCCAATGAAAAAATACTTGAGGAATGAGAAACACATTTCATTATACATTTTAGGAAACAGTGGGTTGTCTCTTCCATGCCTTTTGTACTCACTGCATTTGTACAACTTATTGATCCTTTCTATATCAATCTTAGACATTTTGTCTGTTTGTCCTATTGGCACAGAATGATCGGGAATGGCAGTAATGGTTTCTTCTCCAGGCACTCATGCAAAGTCATTCCTAAGAAATGACTTCATCACTTAAAATTCATCAACAACTAGGAATAAACCAAAATTCAGTGTATATTTAATTTTTCTCCTGCTAAAGAGTAATGTGATTCAGATGCTGCTACCACAGCGCCAACACCAACATGCAAAGAGATGAAGTCAGAAACTTGCCACGTAGAAAATAATGTAACAGTTAGCAGCTAGGCAAGCTACCATTACACTCATAAACAGAGGTAGTTCTTTAAAAAAAAACAAAAACAGTTATGATACATCACAGAGGAGCAGTCATATAGTGTGTAAGTTGGCAGTATCCCGTTTATGCAAGTTGAATGCATTCTGTATTGAACAAAGAACAGAAACAGTTATCATTGTTCATTTCAGAGATATGAGCTTGTTTTGTCTCAGAGGTATTTTTGGAGACAGTCTTGTTTTCAGTCCAAGATCTCTGTGACCTTTGTATCAGATTTTAACCAAATGTAATATAATGGGATGGTCAGACTTTCTAGGTATTGTTCTGAAATTCGATTTATAAATGAAACTACTAGCAACCTTTTCTTCCTTAGATTCAAGATAAATCTGAATCCATAAAGGGAGGAATCATTAACCTCAAACAAGTTGAAATAAATCTCATCTGAGCAGCCAATATGTATAATAATTAACTTTTAATGCAAAATAACACTGTAGGTTGTAAGCCACTGCCCACAGGCATGGTATGGGCAGTTAAGGATGCAGCTGAAACATTTTGTTTTGAATAAATAAAGATTACCTTTGTTTGCTGCCAGAATTTTAGACATTATTATGTTATGCCTAAATGTTGAGTGTCCTCAAACTTCACGTCTAAAATTAAATGATTCAGTTATCCACCATGAAGAAGCATGGAGTCATAAAATGAGTTAAAGACCCATGATAAGAATATTCAATCGCCTTTCTTTTGTGGATGCACCTCCAGAGACACAAATGAATCTTTAGCAGTAAAATAAAACATGAATATTGAAGAATTTCATTTTTTTGTTTTCATTTTTATTGTCCCATCTTACTAGCTTTTTAATACAAACTAAGATTCATGAGAGATTTTTTTTATATAACAAAAGCTGACCTTGATTGTCATCATGTCAGGTCCTCCTTAAATAGTCACTCAATAATAGCACATTACAGATTAAAAATAAGAATTTAGTGGTTTACTGTCGTGTTTACTTACTACAAGATCAGTCTAAGAAGAAAGAAGGGGCCCATGTCTCCAAATACACACACACACACACACACACACACACACACACACACACACACACACACACACACACACACACACACACACACA